CCTCCGCCTCCTCCTCCTCCTCCTCCTCCTCCTCCTCCTCCTCCTCCTCCTCCTCCTCCTCCTCCTCCTCCTCCTCCTCCTCCTCCTCCCTCCTCCTCCTCCTCCTCCTCCTCCTCCTCCTCCTCCTCCTCCTCCTCCTCCTCCTCCTCCTCCTCCTCCTCCTCCTCCTCCTCCTCCTCCTCCTCCTCCTCCTCCTCCTCCTCCTCCTCCCTCCTCCTCCTCCTCCTCCTCCTCCTCCTCCTCCTCCGCCTCCGCCTCCGCCTCCCCTCCGCCTCCTCCTCCTCCTCCTCCTCCTCCTCCTCCTCCTCCTCCTCCTCCTCCTCCTCCCTCCTCCTCCCTCCTCCTCCTCCTCCTCCTCCCTCCTCCTCCTCCTCCTCCTCCTCCTCCTCCTCCTCCTCCTCCTCCTCCTCCTCCTCCTCCTCCTCCTCCTCCTCCTCCTCCCCCTCCTCCTCCTCCTCCTCCTCCTCCTCCTCCTCCTCCTCCTCCTCCTCCTCCTCCTCCTCCTCCTCCTCCTCCTCCTCCTCCTCCTCTCCTTCCCCCCGCATCTCTCAACGAAAACTTCAGGACCCGGCTCTCCAGCGCAGGGCGGCCTGGTCCATACCTGGCGATACTCGGACTGCCTCCCCAGGAAGCCCAGGAACCAGACCGAGTCCATGAGCAGCGCTTTCCACTGGAGGACGAAGTCGGTGTACAGTCATCGTGCTGCCATGAGGATAGCCAAACAATGAACGATGGGCCCTGTCTGGCCACAGCGTACCTCGGCCACGCACAGGTTCCCCGTGTGAACCTGAGGAACGGCCCGAAAATCAGAGCCCCTCGTGAGCCCAAAGTGGTTCTTACCTCAGCGCCTTGACTGTACTTTGGATGCCAGGTTAGCGCAATCAACCCCTGGCGCACGCGCTGCAGCTCCCAGACAGAGAAATCCTCCCCCCGGGTGCGCGCCAACCGCTGACTGGAGCGGGGGTTCCATCGAGCATGGCGGCATCGGCAGCGGCCTGGGCTGACAACGGCGACCATCCAACCGCGCTCGGCAGCGCCGCGAGAAACGCTTCGGCAACAGGGGTGTCCGCCACAAGGGCGCCACCGTTCCCGCCTCCTCCTGGGCAGACACGGGGACGAGGGAGCAGAAGCGGAGACGCCGGGGGGTACGACGACGCCGCCGCAGCCGCCACTGACGACGACGACGACGACGACGACGACGACGACGACGACGACGACGACGACGACGACGACGACGACGATGGCGGTGACGACGACGAGAGGCGGCGATGGAGGCGGGCAGAGGCGGAGGCGCCTCGGCGCTGGCGCGCGCCCACGCCGCGGGGCCCACGCTCTCCGCCTGGCCGCCGAGCGCCCGCCACCGCGGGCCGCCCGCGGTCGTGCGCGGTCGTGCGCGCCCGTCGGCCCTGGCTTGCCCTGCCGTGCACCCGCTGGCCCAGGTCGGCCTCCTGCCCGGCCTGCCCGCCGCCCACCCGCTCGCCATCCCTCCCCCGTGAACCCCCGCCCGCCTCTCTCTCTCTCTCTCTCTCTCTCTTTCTGTTTCTCTCTCTCTCCTTCTCTCTCTCTCTCTCTCTCTCTCTCTCTCCCCCTCTTTCTCCCTCTCCCTTGGGACGCACAAAGACATCATAGTACCATATGTGCTCCTTTGAGGCGCGCGTCCGACCCGAACATACGGTACACCCAAATTGTAGTATATCGCTTCCCCAGCGGTGTGGCCAGAAAGCACCGGCCACGACGCATATACTTACTGGAAGACTTCTCGGTGCGCCCGTCGCCCCTGGGGGGCGACGCACATCTTGGGCCGCTGCGGGGGCTGCCCCAAAAGTGGCGCCGTTGCTGCCAGGGCGCCGCATCACGCATGCCAAGGCGTGTGTACAGCCAGCATCTCTTTGCTTGCTGGTGTGCAGAAGGGGCGAGCCTCGCCCTGATCGCCACGCCCCACTCCTGCTTTCCAGTCGGAGCCCCCAAAGACCCCGCCAGGGGAGAGGGTAGTCTCCCCACCCCTGTTCGCACAGCGGTACCTCCCGCCACATGAGGTTGGCGCGGAGGACGCTTGCAGCCCTCGCGCCAGACGGACTTCGGTTCATCGAACTGTTGCGATCTCCCAATTTCCCTCTCTCCTTAAATCCACCTTATCTTTCTGTATTATCTGTAAATGTGTGTACATAACCGGGTCTATATGTACATGTATGTATATATGCTTACATGTCTAAAACCATATGTAAATACACAAATACGGAAACAAGAATTCATACATACGTGCATACATACATGCATGTATGCATACATGCATGCATACGTACATACATATATGCATACATGCATACATGCATGCATGCATGATTGCATGCATGCATACACACATACATACATACTTAATTACATACATGCATACATACATACATACATACATGCATACATACAACTATACATGCGTGCATTCATGCATACATGCATACATGCATACGTACATACATGCATGCATACATACACGTATGCA